ATTTGATATTGATACCCCACGAGCTGAACCAGATATGATGAGAGGAGGTCCTTGCCCGAAATTATAGCTCTTCCAGAGTATATTTCGACAGCAGAAAAGTTATGGTTCCAGCTTTCTGCTCGTGGAGGCAGAGCGTTTTCTGTTTGTTGGTTCCTACATAAGGTGAGTTGTCAGTCCGGAAGTATCTTGTCTGGCAGTCTGTCCAGATACATGTAGTGGAGCAAGGGGTCCATTCGAGATAGATAGAGAGAAGAATATGGGCCTCGCTGCACTACTCTCGAAATGTGCAAAACGAGAGTGAATCTTCCGCTAGAATTCGGAAAGATACACCGCCAAGATTTTTGTCTTTTGTGCATGTCGAGAGTAGTGCAGCAATGCCCTATATTTTAGGTCCATTCTTGCGATTGCACCTCGGAAGTATCTTGTCTGGCAGTCTGTCCAGATACATGTAGTGGAGCAAGGTCCATTCGAGATAGATAGAGAGAAGAATATGGGCCTCGCTGCACTACTCTCGAAATGTGCAAAACGAGAGTGAATCTTTCGCTAGAATTTGGAAAGATACACCGCCAAGATTTTTGTCTTTTGTGCATGTCGAGAGTAGTGCAGCAACGCCCTATATTTTACCTCGGACGGCTCTGAAATCACAATTCCAAAATCCGAACCCATAACTTTTTCCACAGATGGCAGGGACGTCGCAGAAGGATATAATCTCAGCAGAGTCTCATCAGAAGCATAGTGTTCCCCTCGTGGCTGAGGGTGAAAGAGCATCAGATGTTGCCAATGGTAACTGGTCCATTGGACCACAAGATGACAAATTGGATTAGGGGCCTACCCGACCCACATCTTAGGAAAAACACATGGCTGTTCTCCGCTGCTGATCTGCATAGATCAGCGGCGGATATATTCTGCCCGTTTTTCTTATAGAAATGGGGTCCTGGCCGATCTTTGCCGCTGATCTGCGACGATCGGCGGCCAAGATTGGCCACTTTCTGTACTTGAAAAATCCGGGCCTACGGGACCCGGTTTCGAAATTGCGGGGCAGGGCCCGCCCCCACGAGGCCTTGGGAACACATACGCGCCGACAAAAAAAAAAAATTCAGCCCCCAGCAAAAATGCGCTGGGGGCAACCGGGAGGGAACCGGCCCGGGCCACCGGCCGGTCCAACCGGAAGGACCAGCCCTGGTAAAATCATCATTCTCCACCACTCTGACCTTTCTTAAGGTGCTTTTCTTAATGGCGATCAGAACCCGCGACTCCTTGTCCAGAATACTGACCGTGACTCCTGGAGATAGTCAACATTGGTTTCTGTATATCGTTCACACTCATATTCCTTGCACTCGCTCCTCCTCCAGCGCCCTCCTTCCATCCACGTCGCACTATCGTACAAGCAATTCACAGCGCTTCCGCAACTTGCACATCAACCCTGCTTCCTGATGCTGTTGGGCTTTTACACTTGTGCAGACATCTTCTGTTGATTATGGATTGGTCCCCTTTGCCTTTGTTCCCGGCTTCTGGAAGCTTATGGACTCTTCTTGGGTTTGTCTGCTTGCCCGGATCGACTGATACCTGGCCTCCCGACTCTGGTGATCCTGGCTGAACTTTGTGTGCCTTCTAAAGACAGACCCTTCAACCCATAACTGTTATCTACCATGGACTTCCTACCATGATCTACTTAACTAGCCAGCCTAGGGCTGCAATCGTGGTACAAACAAAACTGCTCTTCTAAAGTATTTGTGAACATTGTACAAGTGGCTGGAATCACTAATGGGACATCGAATGGGACTTGGGATTTGGGACTGGACCTTCGACTCGGACCTGGGACCTGGGACTCATGACTCTGGTGCAGCGTGAAATCCTTTCAGATGCCTTCGAAGGCAACAGGTGCATCCAGTGCTTGGGGATTGTGATGGCTTAAAAGGTGGAGACAATTGCGCATCTGTTCAGTTTGCACTATCTCCTGAGCATCTTTCAGCGCAGAGGAGGGCGTTTGTATGACGGGAGGGCATTTGAGAAAAACCTTCACCAGATGACACACAGGATTTGAGAAAGGCAGCGGCTGCTGCAATCGATATTTATGGCCCTGGCTGCAAATCCATTCTGGGGACCTTCAGTTTGGTTCCTTTCCCCCCCAGCAAGTCATACAATTACATCATGTACCCTCTCACAAGTGTACAGCACTTCCGTCTGTTTGGTGGAAGGAGCCGTGAACAGCTCGAACAGCACTGATAGTTCCATTTCTTTCACGGAGGATCGACTGTCAGCTTGCCACATCTCAGACCATTTCCTGAGTCTGTGTCCCTTTTGCAATCCTTTTTTCTCTCATTTTTCCCCTTTTTTCTTTGCCCTGCTCCCCCCTCCTGGAGACCCTTGTGCAGAGAGTGGTACATTACCCCCCAGACTGCCTGCATCTTTCTTCAGTTGTTTCACAAATCCTTTGTATCCTTTTCCTTTTTCTAATATCAGCTAAGGAAGCCAGTACCTTGTTGGATAGACCCTTGGCCTGTTTTCTAAATGCAGAACAAAAACTTATATCAAGTTTCATAAACTTTTATTGGAAAAAGCCAGCTGCATTGTCTTCCTGACGCCATTCATAAAACACACAGCCCACATTGCTGAATGGCACACGAGTGCGCACTTTCAACTGTTGATTTTAACTTGATAAACTGCTCACAAGGAGACAAAGAGAGAAAAGAAAAAAACAGCTCATGAGTTCAGATCCTGATGGAATCAGATGGATGCAATAATGGTGGGGACTATCCCCTTTACAGAAAAAAGTCATTTTTAAAATCCTTTGGTTCACGTTGGTTGTAACTTGTAAGTGATTGAACAAACTGATGGGGCGTTCTATGCAGGTATGTTCCCGATGCTATTAAAGGCGATTTTGATTCCATAAGACCAGAAGTGAAGGACTACTACGCGAAACTGGTAAATGGATTTTTATTGTGGGGCTCTTAGGGAACTCAGCTAACTGGGTGAAGAGTGCTGGCTGCCAGATCAATAGAAATACCCTGATTGCTCCTGCCAATGCCCTGATGGACTGAGTCACCCTTGTGCGAGCTTTGGAAATTTCACTGGACTACTGTCTTCCCCCAAACATAACGCACCCTGATACTGCATGTGTACATGCCATAAGCAGGGCTCGCTGTGTTTGGGGGAAGACGGTAGTGAATACGGACAGCCAATGGAAGTGCCTGTCCGGAGAATAGAAAAGACAAAAGTGAAGACAGTAGTGAATCCTGACAGCCAATGGAGGTGCCTGTCCAGAGAACAGAAAAGACGAAAGTGGCACTGACATTATTGCACCTGAGGTGTCAGCAATGTCTTTGTACATGTGCTTCGCTTAATCTCGAATATGTGTTGCAAGATGTGCCTGCATGTGTGTACACAGGCCTCCACAGTATGATTGTGTATGTGTGCATGCATGTTTGTGGGTGTGCAAGGAAGAAGCAGAAGAGGGGCAGGACGGAGACAATTTACAATGACAGAGATCTGAGGCATACAACTCTTTTCTTTACACGCCTACACGCTCACGACCAGTCCTTTCACTTTTGGCTGCCTCCCCCCGTCCTGCCCCCACCTCCTGCCCCCACCTCCTAACAGACACACAACATGCACACACACACACACACACACACACACACACACACACACAGAGACACACTCCCACTTGCTTCAACTTTGGATGCACTCATCTGGGTGGAATAGGGGCTGTTCTGGTGAATATCCAAAACACACGCCCTCCTCTTCTGTAGTACTAATAAATGCATACAAGAGAGCATCATTCAGAGGACAGAGAATATGAGCTGAAGATCTGAGGAAAAGTGAACAGGAATATACCTCCCCCTTTTCTTTGTGTGAGGAATGTGTCCTCAGGGGCCTTTAGAGAACATGCATATGTTCTGACTGTGGCCCCCAGCAAAGCCTCGTGTCCGCCCTAAATGAAGGCGGGCCTGAATATTCACCAGAGGCCCTTATCTCAGCATTTTCCTATGCGGATCTCGGACAGTTGCTGCACGACAGTTGGTTGAAGAGCAACCTGAGGCCTTACCCTGGGTCCGGGTGGTTGAGACCAGGGCAAGTTGTACCTCACGTGACCCTATTCTGTCGTAGGGGTTCGCGAGAGGTATGGCTGGCGCACTTGGCCGGAGTGGCAACGCTCTACGACTAAGTCCTGCAAAATCCTACGTGACGCGGCCGGGAGGGTCCCACTGCGGGACCGATGCGCTCGACATCGCTGCTCTAAGTGTCGCGGGCCTACTCCTGCCACTTCAGGGTCTTCCCCGCTGCAACCCTCAAAGTCACGGCCACAGGTAAGTATCGTTGTCGGGCGACCAAAGTCAGTTGGCCCCTAGAAATTAGGAAATTTTGAGCCTATGTCAGTCTTCTAGGCTCATTTTTATTGCTTCTTTTTATGATGGCGAATAGAAAAACAGGGTGCCCGGGACGACCCATGTTTTCTGCCCCCTCATCTACTAACACTGGGCCTACCATCACGTTTCTGGATATATTATCTTACCCTACATAAGACACCCGTTTTATGAGGTTATTTTACCCCTATTTTCATTTCCTCTAATACTCAATTGCGGAAGCACACGCGGGCTTCCACACGGGCGACTTTGTGTGACCGAGTTGATGACAGGAATGTATTTATTTTAACACCAGTAATTAAAGTCAGAAATAAATAAAAAAGTTAAAAAAACTTCAAAAGCGATTAAATTTCATTAAAATGAACCTAATTTTGAACGATTTTGTTTGGCCCTTCGTTTTTGGTGCCTGATTATGTCTCCCGTCATTCTTACCCGATCTGTCCTATTTTACAAACCTCTCTTCAACCCTTATTTTGGTGTGTGCATGACCCCGCGTATAATTGCATTTATGAGCTCGTCGGGTGCCAGGCGGGATTGGCTGTTTTGGGGGTCGCTGCGTGATGTTGCGGGGGGGACTGTTATGTGGAGGCTTGAACCACGTAATGACTACTCGGGATTGTTTTTGGTTAAGAGCCGCTTTTGTTCTGTGACATTTCTGCCGGACAGCTTGTTCATCCCGATGTCGGATTACTTTTTTTTACCTTGATGACATCAGTGCTACTGCACCCCTGGTATGGTCACTCTCTGAATTTTATATGGGGTTTCGAGGTTCAGCGTGCCTTGGTAACTGGCCTTGTAAGGTCACTGGTTCTATTTGGGGGGGTGTATGCGGCCACACAAGGGCCATTTTCTCCTCCGACAACTTATTATTGGGGCCCGATTGGGGCCAGGTATGAGTGAGCGTGTTAATTGCCGGCTGGTACCGTGGGCACCGAGCACGTCTCCGTGCTGCTGAAGACTGCCCAGACGAAAACATGCACTCACTGGTACTAGGACCGAGGGATACACAGAGTGGACCGAGATTTTCGGGGTCATTTGGGACTGAGGCGACTTGAGTGAACACAACTCACGGATTACGACCGCAGGGAACGCAGTTCACGAGTCTGTTGGATCCCGTAGCTGTTTGTGAGGCGCTGCAGTTCGGTGGTGGTCAACCTTTGCATGGTGGTGTTTGAGGCCGCTGGCGGACCCCCACTGGGCCCTGGGAGGCCCCAGCCTAGAGCTTTGACACACCTCAGGGGATTCCCCCCCGGGGTCCAGCAGAAAGCTTGTCATGTTTCTACTCAGCAGGTTTGCAAAGACGGAGGAAGGAACTAGTGCTCAGCTGCAACGACCTGGCGCCTGCTGATAAGGCGAAGAGGTTCTCTCTCTGTCTTAGAAAAGCCTGCACAGTTTTAATGATCATCCTCATGGTTTTTTCTACTCAATTTTGAGATAAGGGACGCTGAGCCCGGTTCTCAGCAAAGTCTTGTGTTCACTTCGGGCAGACTGTGAGGACCCCGGCCTCAAACTTTCTCATGGATAATATCAGCCTTGGGCACTGGGCCCTTTTTTGCAAAAAAAAAAAAAAAAAAAGAGGCCGCTGGTGGACGTTCAGGAGAGGTCAAAGCGGTTTGAGAGAGGCAGCGGACGAGAGAGAGAGAGGGAGAAAGAGAGCTTATACCCATGTTGTTGGTGTATCAGGCTGCAAATATGGTGAGATACACAAGAAAAAGCTGGCTTAAAAGTTAAAATTCTTTTATTTTATTTTTTATTTTATGGCGTGAGTGTAACAGACGGCTATTGCCGGCAGATACATCCAGATTAGAACTGGAGCGGATGAGACATTGGGCAAGAGAGTATGCAAGAGAAAGCGCGAGCAAGCGTGTGAGGGAGCATGTGCGAGGGCATGGGACTGAGAAAGAGTGAGTGAGGGAGATTGAGACAGAGAAAGAGGGAGCTCTTGTGAACAATTGAGAGAGCTTGTATGTGGAGCATGAAGGGAAGTAGCGGGCTAGTGTGCAGTCGGATGCATGAGAGAGAAGAGAGATATTGAGGGAGCGAGAGAGAGTGAGTGCGTGTGTGCCTGATAGTGAGAGGAAGAAGTGGGAAGGATGGTCAGTGAGGGCCTGTATGAGTGAGGGGGAGATGAACACGGCATGTATGTGGTCCTAAGCGCGGGAAATTACGTTCAAGCATGATCGGATGTTGATCTACTGGCACAAACTGACAGCGGCGGGCCAAGAAGATGACAAAAGAGCGGGTGAGACAGAGATCATGAGGGAGAAGAGGGGACCTGCCTGCCTGGAARAGGAGATAATAAGCTATTGTAATCAACACCGCGAACCCGGCCCTAAGCATGGCTAAGTTCATCCAAGTTCGAGTGTGAGAGAGGCCAAGAAGCATTCGTCATATGCACACACTCTCAACTACACACCCGTGGTGTTCAAATACATACAGTGCACGGATCTGACAAGGCTTTTGGGCCTGATCCATTTGCTGTTGGGAGCTTGAGCTGGAGAGAGAGAGAGAGAAGAGGACCGAGAGTGTGAGTGTGAGTGAGTTGGTGAGAGGGACAAGAGAGTAAGACAGTGAGAGAGAGAGTGGGAGCATTCATGTGCGTGTGTTAGAGAGAGAGAGAGAGAGAGAGAGAAGATCAGAGGGTGAGCGCCCGTGAGTACCTGTGCCGCCGCAAGGGTGAGAACTGCCGTGCTTGCTTGTGTGTGTGTGTGTGTGTGTGTGTGTGTGTGTGTGTGTGTGTGTGTGTGTGCATGGGAGAGTGAGATACGGCGAAGAGAAATGTGGGAATATTAGAGAGAGAGAGAGGTGAGAGTTAGTGTGGAAGAGGCAAGAGAGTTAGAGAGATACAGAGTAAGGTGAAGGGCACGGCTCTGTTTATTGTTCCAAATTTAATTAACCTGGCCGTGAACAGGGCCAGGTTCATTCATAGTTGAGCCAGCTAGCTTGCAGCCTAGCAGCGGGGATACTTGAAGCCTGATCGACGCACGGGGCAGAAAGGGGCACAAGAACGAGCAAGCAGGCGAGACACACACACACACACACAGAGAGAGAGAGAGAGAGAGAGAGAGAGAGAGAGAGAGAGAGAGAGAGAGAGAGAGAGAGAGAGCACGACCGTGAGATGGGAAAGTGGGCCATGAATATTGTGGTGTGTCCCGCCATGATCAAACTGAAGATTCATTCAATGGAGCGGGGCACAGCACACTGCAAATAGACGCATATCTTTCCAGATACTTTCTGAAGTCACTTTCCCATTACCCTCCTTTGCTGATTAGCTGGAGGAGGCCGCTGCGCGCTGAAACTAGGACGGTGATGATGAACCTTGCCATCTTCCAGCTGAAGATTCATCCTCCTTTCCCCCGTTCGGTAAACGGTTGAGTGGGTTGCAACCCACGAGGAACAATGAAAGTAGCGGTGTAGCCTGCCTTGTGCTAACGGAAGATTGATTATTATTGCAATTCCCTGTTTGTGACTGGGCGACTACCCCTTTTGCCTGTCACAGTGGGGTTCCATAGGCAAACAGGGAGAGCTTATGACTTTGATATGGGCTGTTCATCGAGG